CCCACACACTCCCCCCCCCCACACCCCCCCACACACTCCCCCCCGCACCCCCTCACACTCCCCCCCACACTCCCCCCCACACTCCCCCCCACACTCCCCCCCCACACTCCCCCCCACACTCCCCCCCACACTCCCCCCCCACACACTCCCCCCCCCACCCACTCCCCCCCCCACACCCACCCCACACCCCCCCACATTCCTTCCACGCGAATGCATCACAGGGGCCCCGCAATTCCTCCACACGATCTTCCTCCACACGGATGACGCTGCTGCTGCCTCCTGCTGTTGCTTCCACTGCTGTTGCTGCTGCTTCCTGCTGCTGCTGCCTCCACTGCTGCTGATGCTTCTGCTGCTGCTGCCTCCACTGCTGCTGATGCTTCTGCTGCTGCTGCCTCCACTGCTGCTGATGCTTCTGCTGCTGCTGCCTCCACTGCTGCTGATGCTTCTGCTGCTGCTGCCTCCACTGCTGCTGATGCTTCTGCTGCTGCTGCCTCCACTGCTGCTGATGCTTCTGCTGCTGCCTCCACTGCTGCTGATGCTTCTGCTGCTGCTGCCTCCACTGCTGCTGATGCTTCTGCTGCTGCTGCCTCCACTGCTGCTGATGCTTCTGCTGCTGATGCCTCTGCTGCTGCTGCCTCCACTGCTGCTGATGCTTCTGCTGCTGCTGCCTCCACTGCTGCTGATGCTTCTGCTGCTGCTGCCTCAACTGCTGCTGATGCTTCTGCTGCTGCTGCCTCCACTGCTGCTGATGCTTCTGCTGCTGCTGCCTCCACTGCTGCTGATGCTTCTGCTGCTGCTGCCTCCACTGCTGCTGATGCTTCTGCTGCTGCTGCCTCCACTGCTGCTGATGCTTCTGCTGCTGCTGATGCTTCTGCTGCTGCCTCCACTGATGCTTCTGCTGCTGCTGCCTCCACTGCTGCACGCGGCTATGCACTTGACGCGACAAAGACAAAAGACCCCCCCACCCTGTGTAGCCTTGACAGACCCGTTGGGGCAAGTGCTGTCATGGAGTAGCGAGCCTGTTGTGTCGTTAAACCCGCCACCACCCGACACAGCCGATTAGTGAGGTTTGTCACGTAAACAGAACGTGCCAATTCGTCACTAGTACAGCACTAATGTGTAGTGTAGTGGTGTATAGTAGTGTATAGTGTATAGTAGTGGAGTGTATTATAGTGTAGTGTATAGTAGTATCGTGTATAGTGTAGTGTATAGTGGAGTGTATAGTGGAGTGTACAGTGTAGTGTAGTATAGTAGTGTGTAGTGTATAGTGTAGTACACCGGTGTGTTGTTGGAGAGCCAAGCCACAACATTTACCATCTGAGTACGACGTTTCGCCAGTTATTACAACCAGCTTCATCGGGCGACAGACAGATTTGTGGAGAAATCCCTGTGTCGGGTTTAACGACGCATTTATATTTCATTTACCACGATCTAACCCCACTCTAGACTATGGACAATTTATAGCTCATCGGATTCCTCCAGGAGACATCGATATTCCGATCCTGATTCTGGGCACGGACACACACACATACACAAAGACAAAGATCCCCCGTATAGCCTTAACAGACTGTAGGGGCAAGTGCTGTTAGCGAACACCTATGAAGGCCGGAACGGCACACGAGGGGGTGGGTGGCCAGTACCACGCCCGACCGCCTTTGTCTCCCCAGTGGCGATGTTTACACACCGCATCAGGTACTCATTTGAGGCTGAGTCGACCTCGGGGTGGCCCACGACCGGTTCAGATAATTGTCACTGGTGTTGGCCGTGAGCGGGAATCGAACGCGGGTCGCCAGGTTCGTAGCGCAGCGCGCTGACCTCTGCACCACCGCTCCCCACACACGGACACACACACAGACACACACACACACAGGGACACACACACGGACACACACACAGACACACACACACGGACACACACATAGACACACACACACACACAGGGACACACACACGGACACACACACAGACACACACACACAGACACACACACGGACACACACACAGGGACACACACACACACAGGGACACACATACACACACGGACACACCACTGAGTGGGGTGAAGGCCCAACTCCAGGCCTCGTGGCTCCACCACCGACCCATTCGCCGCTACCTCCGCTACCAATCCGCGTCTCCGCGTTCAAATGGATTTTTTTTAAACTCGTGCCGCGCTGTACGCGCCCGATGCTTGTTAAACTCGTCCCATGTGACGCTCGCGAAGCCGGATAAACGCCGGCTGCGTCACGTGGAACACGCGTGCACACATAGACACGTGTACACACACACACACGTGTGCACGTACACACACACGTGTACACACACACACGTGTACACACACACACACGTGAACACACACACACAGACAGGCGAAACACGTGTACACACATACAAGTGTACACACACACACGCGTACACACACACACATGTGTACACACACACGCGAAACACGCATACACAAACACACAGACACGCGTAGACACACAGACACGCGTACACACACACAGACAGGTGAAACACGTGTACACACAGACACACACACAGACACGCGTACACACACGCGAAACACGCATATACAAACACACAGACATGCGTATACACACATACAGGCAAAACACGCGTACACACACACACGTGGAACACGCGAACACGCGGAACACGCGTACACACACACGTGGAACACGTGTACACACACGCAGACACGTGTACACACACACGTGTACACACACGCGCACGGAACACGCGTGTACACACACGCACACGGAGATTTCAATCTGCTCTATTAACGCAGGCAGCGTTAATTATGAGTACATTATTGTAAGTGTAGGAAAATAAAACCCTCTGTTCTACACACGAACGATCGTGGTATTGCTGCTGCTGCTGCTTATTGTGATGATATTGATTGTTGCTCATGCTGCTCACAACATCACGACCACCATCATCATCACGACCACCATCATCATCACGACCATCATCATCATCACGACCACCATCATCATCACGACCATCATCATCATCACGACCACCACCATCATCACGACCACCACCATCATCACGACCACCATCATCATCACGACCACCATCATCATCACGACCACCACCATCATCACGACCACCACCATCATCACGTCCACCATCATCATCACGACCACCATCATCATCACGACCACCATCATCATCACGACCACCATCATCATCACGACCATCATCATCATCACGACCACCATCATCATCACGACCACCACCATCATCACGACCACCACCATCATCACGACACGACCACCATCATCATCACGACCACCATCATCATCACGACCACCATCATCATCACGACCACCATCATCATCACGACCATCATCATCATCACGACCACCATCATCATCACGACCACCACCATCATCACGACCACCACCATCATCACGACCACCATCATCATCACGACCACCATCATCATCACCGCTAGAACCACCACTACCGCGAAAACCACCACGACCATCATCACCACGACGACCATCACCACCAACACTACAACCACCACCACCACTACAACCACCACTACCACCACAACCACTACAACCACCACCACCAACACTACAACCACCATCACGACCACCATCTCCACCAACACTACAACCACCACCACCACTACAACCACCACCAACACTACAACCACCACTACCACCACAACCACTACAACCACCACCACCAACACTACAACCACCATCACGACCACCATCTCCACCACCACTACAACCACCAACACTACTACAATCACCACCGCTACAACCACCACCATCACCACTACAACCACCACCACCACTACAACCACCACCACCACAACCACCACCACCACAACCACCACCACCACAACCAACACCACTACAACCAACACCACTACCACCACCACCAACACTACAGTCACCACCACGACCACCATCTCCACCACCACTACAACCACCACTACAACCACCACCACCAACACTACAACCACCAACACTACTACAACCAACACCACTACAACCACCACCATCACCACTACAACCACCACCACCACTACAACCACCACCACCACCACAACCACCACACCACCACCACAACCAACACCACTACAACCACCACCAACACTACAGCCACCACCACGACCACCATCTCCACCACCACTACAACCACCACCACTACAACCACCACCATCACCACTACAACCAGGGTACGCAGTGCGTGTACAACAGCCGCTCTCTCTCACGTCCTCCCACACACAAAGGCAAAGAGGCACCAGGTAGCCGAACACGTGGCTGTCGGCAAGAGACTGCGGTGTAGCCGGCAGCACCACTCCCGGCCGCCTTTGTCTCCCCAATGCTGATGTTTACACACTCATGTAATGCGATGTTCTGTGTACGTGGCCTTGAGATCGTGAGCTCGAGATGCCAACGAGTACCTGGTGCGGTGTGTTCACGTCAGCGGCGGGGAGGAGGAGGGGGGGGAGAGACAAAGGCGGTCCTGGGAATCCCAGGGGATGGATGCCCAGGGACCGGTTCAGTCAGAAGATCGGCACCGACTTTGTTGGCCCTGAGCAGGAATCGAACTCGGGATTTCTTAAAGCGCAGCGTGCTCACCACTGCGCCACCGCTCCCCCACTGACAAAGACCCCCCGTATAGACTTAGTAGACTGTTGGGGCAAGTGCTGTTAGCGAGCACCTTCTGAAGGCCGGCACGGCAACACGACAAAATTGCGTGGCCAGCAACCACGCCCGGCCGCCTTTGTCTCCCCAGAGGCGATGACTTTACACACCGCACCAGGCACCCATTTGAGGCCGAGTCGACCTAGGGGAGGCCCAGGACCGGTTCAAATAATCGTCACCGGCGTTTTGCCCGTGAGCGGAAATCGAACCCGGCTCACAGCACGTACACACAAGAGACACACACAAAGACAAAGATGCCCCGTACAGCCCCTAAGAGACTGTTGGGGCAAGCAAGCGAGCGAGCGAGCGGCAACCTTTGCTCACCTTCCAAACAGCAGGTCCGCCACAGACCCGAGTGTGTGAGCACCTCCTCGTTCTTACGACTCGTGTCGTTTTCCCCTCCGCCACCCTTGCTGCGGCAGTTGCCCCTCGAGTAGAGCCAGAAGTCTGTACCCACGGCGATGCTCATGAGGCCGAAGGCAGCAAACGCGCCTCCGGTCGTGAGCAGGGTTTGAACCCCTCTCTCGCAGACGCCCATGGCGACGGCGATGATGCAGCACGGACGGTGCAGCAGTAGCAGCAGTAGCAGCAGTCGTGGGAGTAGTCGTGGCCGTGCCGGCAGAGGATGGTGCAGCAGGAGGAGGAGGTGGTGGTGGATGAGGAGGAGCTGGAGAAGGAGGTGGAACTGCAGCAGCAGCAGCAGTGTCGGCAAGAAAATCACGAGCAGCAGCTGCAGCAGGAGCGGACGGTGGAGGAGTAGACCAGGTTCGACGCCTGGACATCGTTGTGCGGTCCGAAGACCCCTCCTCCTCCTCCTTCTCCTCAACCACAACCACCACTACCACCACCACCACCACGAGGGTGTGAGGGTAACGCCAGAGGAATGGACGTGCAAGCGGTGAACGCTGCCGGGTGACTGAATGAAGACGACAACAACAACAAAAACACGCGGCCGAATGTGCGGCTCTCACAGCTGATGGCCGACGCCGGGTGTTGTTTATTAATGCATTGATGACGATTAATTAATGGCAATTAATTAATGGCAATTAATTAATGGCAATTAATTAATGACCGTTAATTCCGTAGCTGGCATATCCTGGGCGAATGCGTGAGATGCATTGGTCGGACGGACGTGGTTGATCGGCCGAGCGTTGAATGAGTGAGCGGGTTGAAAGAATGAATGAATGAATGGGTGGACGTCTGTCCGTCACCCACACACGAATCGGTTGAAGCGTAACTCCGAACCCATAGCCGCCTAGATGATTAACATCGTCGTCATTAGCCTAATGAGCAGACGACGATGAGACAGCTTGCTCGTCCAATTAATTCGTTCGACATTTTCATTCATGCGGTCCGTTCTTTCAAACCGGGCTACCCGTTCCCGAGACCCATTGCTTAAAACCGCATGTCTATTTATATCTCGCTCTCTCTGTGCTATTTAATTATATATTACATATTGCACACACACACACACAATAATTATTATCGTGTGCATGCCTCCCTCTCTCTCTCTCTCAATGTATCTACATCGGCTCGATGCTTAGTTAATTACGATGCTGATAAAATAGAGACACGCGCGCGCACACACACACGCGCACGTACACACACACGCGTGTGTATGTGCGCGCGTGTGTGTGTGTGATTAAACGATTACAGCGAGATGATAAACTGTGGATGGAGCCGTTAGATTATGATGTTGTTGATGATGATGTTGCTGCTGATGATGTTGCTGCTGCTGCTGATGTTAGTGATGAAGATGATGCTGCTGATGATGCTGCTGATGCTGCTGCTGATGATGTTAGTGATGAAGATGATGATGCTGCTGCTGCTGATGATGATGCCGCTGCTGATGATGTTAGTGATGAAGATGATGATGATGCTGCTGCTGATGATGATGATGATGCTGCTGCTGCTGATGATGATGTTGACGATGATGTTGGCCCAGAACGAATCTCGCTCCTGTTTTTGTTTTCGTCCACGGCAACAGCTGTTGAACGGAGAGGGATAAATGCCACGTGTCTCCTCCGCCAGATATCCCTCTGTATGATGAGATGTCCTTCTGTGTGGTGAGATGCACCTCCGTTTGACGGCGCCGAGTGAGTGTATCTTCTCTATGAGATGTATCTGTGACATGAGATGCACGCTCAATGTATCTCTTGAGATGTATTTCTAAGATGCACAGCAGATCTCTCTCTGTTTACGTATCATTTGCGTGCCCTGAGATGTAAATGTGATGGGTGTTTTCTACGTAAGATGCATGATTAGATGCATCTCAGATATCTCTATATGAGATACACGGTGAGATGCGTTATGCCTCTCTCTCTCGCTGGAGATGTATTCTGTGATATGTGCCGTAGTTGTATCTCTACGAGATGTTTACTTCCGTGAGATGTGCTTCTGCAAAGATGTACTTCAGTTACTCCTGAGATACATCTCTGTGAGAAGATGTTCCGTGTGTTTGAAACACTACGTGATCGCCCTCGCCGTGAAATATCGGGTTACTTGAATCTCTGAGATATCTCCCCCGTGGGATCGACGCTGTAGCTATCTATGAGAGATGTACCGTAGATGTTTCTCTGAGAGATGTACCGGAGCTTTCTCGCCCTGAAACCTGATACGTGACTGTCGAATTACCTCTGCGACAGATCTCCTTGGTGCATCTCCCTTCGTCGTGAGAGATGCATCTGTGAGCTAAATCGTAAATATATTTATCTCTCTATCACGTTGATCTCGATGAGAGATAGACTTCTGGTTAGATGCACCGAATCTTTCTCCCGACAAGATTGACACTGCATGTATAAGATGACATTATTATTATTATCCGAGGGATGTCCCCTCGCTTCTACTTTGCTGCTGCCGATCACCACCGCATGCGTATGAGCGGTTTAAAGAGCTCGGCTACTTGCTGCATACTGATGATGATGGATGAAAATGTTTGTAATTAATGGAGCAGTTACTTCTTCTTCTGCTGCTGCTGCTGATGATGATGATGTTCTTGCTGCTGATGGTGCTGCTGCTGATGATGATGATGGATGAAGATGTTTGTAATGAATGGAGCAGTTGCTTTTTCTTCTGCTGATGATGATGTTCTTGCTGCTGATGGTGCTGCTGATGATGACGACGATGTTCTTGCTGCTGATGGTGCTGTTGCTGCTGATGATGATGATCACCAAGCAAGACGATGCTGATGCTGCTTCGGCTGATGCTGCTGAACGAAGATTATGCTACCGCTGCTGCTGCCGTTGCTGTTGCCGCCGCTGCTGATGATTACAAACGCAGGCAGCTATTTACAAATGTACACACACACACACATTATATAGATATATTAAAAAATAAATAAAACAAAAAAATTATATTAAAAATAATTCCTCTACATTCATTGCGGCTGCCTGTCGCATTCTCCAAACTTGCGTGCCACTATCTGCAGCCGCTCTCTCTCCCTGTGTGTGCCGCTCTCTTTGACGCTCTCTCTGCCTCTCTCCCTGTGTGTGCCGCTCTCTCTCCCTGTGTGTGCCGCTCTCTCTCGCTCTCCTTGACGCTCTCCCTGTGTGACTATGTCCCTCCCCACTTTCTCTCCCTTGCGCGCTCTCTCTCTCTCTCTCTCCCGCTTTCTCTCCGCGTCTTCCTCTCTCTTCCCTCCCTCTCGCTCTCCCCGTGTCTGTCTCTCCCCCTCTTTTTTTTTACTCCCTTTCCCTCCTCCTCCTCCTCTCTCTCTCATCTCTTCCCTCCCTCCCTCTCTTTCGCGCGGTGTGGATGATTTGGCTCTACACAGGCTGCTTTATTCGCTACAAGGCCGCATGTGCAGCAGCATTTCCCGTCACTGCCTGGAGCGGGCAACGCATTGCTCTGCGCCACGGCACGCGGCACGCGCCACGCACGCGGCACGCACGCGCCACGCACGCGGCACGCACGCGACACGGCACGCGGCACGCGCCACGGCACGCGCCACGCACGCGGCACGCACGCGCCACGCCACGCGCCACGGCACGCGGCACGGCACGCGGCACGCGCCACGGCACGCGGCACTGCACGCGGCACGGCACGCGCGCGCACGTCGAAGACAACGCACAACAATGGACGTGAACGACAAAGGACACGAACAACAAATGGACTTGGACAACAATAGACGTGGACAACAATAGACACCGTATACACCGACAACAATGGGGCGCCAACAACAATAGACATTACGGGCGATGTTCTTGGTCTGAATGACGCTGTCTTTCCGACAGACCTGTTCTTCACCTGAGGACGGCTGCTTGCGTTGTGGCCGAAACGTCGTGAGAATTATTTTGTTATGTTTTATTTTTGTTATTTTATTATTTCCCTTCTACGTGACTTTACCGAAAGAACCAAGAAGATGAATCCCTGCACTCACGAAAGCTTTAAATCGAAATTACGGGCGATGTTCATGCATTGTAACAATCGACCTGGGGAACAATAGACACCGAGAGACAATATGCTACTATAGACACCGATAACAAAATGCATAATGGACAATATGCATACGTAACAATAGGCATGGAAAACAAGTTACATCAACAACAATATACAACAATAATCGACAGGAACATCAATAAACATAAACTACAATTGACACGAACAACATTAGACATCAATTGACACCAACAGCAATAAACACAATTGATATAACAATACACACCATGCACAACAATAGACGTCAACAACAATAGACATCGTGGACAACAATAGACGTCAACAACAATAACACCATGCACAACAATAGACGTCGACAACAATAGACATCGTGGACAACAATAAACATCAACAACAATACACACCACGCACAACAATAGGTATCGACAACCATAGACATGGTGGACAACAATAAACGTCAACAACAATAGACATGGTGGACAACAATACACGTCAACAACAATAGACATGGTGGACAACAATAGACTAGCGTCATCAAGGCATCTCCAGAATATGGTTGCTAGCAGCACACATCTGCAACGCCAGTGATATGAGATGTGTGCGTGCAGATTCTTGAATTAATCTGTGCGGAGATTTTTCACCCTTGGAAGTTGTGAATAGGATGAGGTGGTGATGGGTGGGACGCGTGGTGTGCAGGGTGGAGGTGGTGATGGGTGGGACGAGTGGTGTGCAGGGTGGAGGTGGTAGTGATGGGTGGGACGTGTGGTGTGCAGGGTAGAGGAGGTGATGGATGGGACGAGTGGTGTGCAGGGTGGAGGAGGAGGTGATGGGTGGGACGAGTGGTGTTCAGGGTGGAGGAGGAGGTGATGAGTGGGACATGTGGTGTACAGGGTGGATGAGGTGATGGGTGGGACGAGTGGTGTGTAGGGTGGAGGAGGAGGTGATGGATGGGACGCGTGGTGTGCTTGTGCGCTTGTGTGCGAGAGAGGGTGTGTGTGTGTATGGGTCAGAAAGTGTGAGCGCGTTTGTGTGTGCGGGTGTGAGAGAGAGAGTGTGGATGAGAAATTGTGAGCGCGCGTGCGTGTGTGTACGAGAGAGGGTGTCTGTGTGATTGAGCGTGTGTGTGTGCGTGTGCGATAGTGTGTGTGTGGGTGAGCGCGTGTGTGTGTGCGTGCGAGAAAGTGAAATTGCGTGGACAGTGTGAGAGAGCGTGCGAAGGTGTGCGTGCGAGAGAGTGTGTGTGTGGTTGAGCGTGTGTGTGTGCGTGGTAGATAGTGTGTGTGTGGTTGAGCGCGTGTGTGTGCGTGGGAGAGTGTGTGTGTGTGTGTGTGGGTGAGCGCGTGTGTGTGTGTGGGAGAGTGTGTGTGTGGGTGAGCGCGTGTGTGTGTGTGTGGGAGAGTGTGTGTGGGTGAG